GGTGAGCCCCAGAGCCAGTTTGGATACTGTGGGAAAGAGAAAGATTCCTGCTGGGAATCGAACCAGTTCTTGTTCATCCAGCCCATACAGAAAACACAACACAGACATATGTGACTGGGAATATGGGAAGTGAATACTAAATGACATAAAACTTTATACTGTGTTAGAAAACATCAAATAGGGATTCCATTGTAATTAATGTTCAGTTCCAACAAGAACTGGACTGCAACATGCAAATTATGCTCCAACAGTTGGATTTCAATGCCAATGAAGTACTTTCTTTGTTTAAGAATGTGTGTAGCTATATCTCCACTTCTCGTGTTTTCATGGTGCAGCGTTTAATTAAGTACAGGGACAACTTTACATCTCTATTTTTCTACTTCAAAATTCTGACATACAGAATATATTACAGTATGCGTGAAGTAAATGTCAACTGTAAATTTCACGGTCTACATGGATCCATGAAGGGACCTATATTTTTAACCTATTAGTTCCAGAAATCACATCTAAAATTTCAGCTTACATACGTACCAGAACTGGCAGACTTGAGTTGATCTTGTCTGCTATGTTGAGTTGCTTGCCAGCTGAACTGAAGATGTAGATCACATCTTTGGTACTGCTGGCACAAAGGCGGCAAAGCTGGCCAGGGTGTTTCAAAACAGCATTTCCATCACCATCGTCCATAAAACCATCCAGATTATCATCAATGTCTGACTCAATTTTAATGATGGTTTCACAGTTATCTGAAAGAAAAATGTATTTATCTGAAGACAAGAAGGTGCAATACAGTTAAACCTCAGTAATCTGAAACTGAAAGGAAAGAAATAATTTCAGGGAGTGATTCATTGCTAGGACATACAGTGAGTAGTGTGCACTTTAGCACGACACAGTCAAGTAGTTTCATTCACACTGGTAACAGAGTCTACAGAGTTGAGAGCATAAAATCGCAACATGAGTTTGTTAAAATGTTTGGTCATCTTGGGCTAAGCTTTAGATTTGGAGAGGTTCACTTCTTTGTTACAGAACTTTACATGGCTGTCTTTCCGTCCTACCAGATCTGACATCCCACATTGGTGATCCCAATGTGATTGTGGGCCGGCCATTGGGAAGGCACACAGATAAGGTTAAACAGTTATTTTGAGGAATTCTAATGGACTCGTCTGAAGGATCTATCAGTCTCAGCTCCAGCCTCCCCAGATGGAAATAAGATAAGACTGGTAATTACCGATAAACACTGGTTCCTCTTCTTCACAGATATCCTCTGTATCCAATATACAGTTCTTGTTGTATGATGACTGCACCACTGGAAACACCATTGGTATGGCATCTTCTTTTAATTTTCTACCAGATGAATCTGTAAAATGTTCCTCAATGAAGTGGTTGGAACACACTGCAAGGCTGAGCTCCATACTGTCCAGGAGATCTTCACGTTTGCAGACAGTAAGCCACTGAAGTTGCCTGTAGAAGAATGCAACATGTCAGTCATTAGTATTTTATAATTTTTAATAAAAAAATAAGTATATAGAGGCAAAAGGTAAAGCTATCCCTGCAACTCAGTTCCAACAAGAACTGGACTGTGAGACGTCGAGGCTCCCACATTTTCTAGACAATCAGCTCACAGATGGTGGTAAGGTTGTCAGCCTTACGCCCCGGCCAACCTTTACCCCCTGGAAAATTCCTGGTACTCATTTCTGTTAGAGGTTGGGTCAACCCCAGGGCCATTGTGTGGTTGGAAGGATTAGGTAAACAGAAAAATTCAATGACCTCATCAGGAATAGAACCTGCGACCTTCCAGATTGTAGCATAGTGCCTCAACAAACTATGCTACTGTGTGCCCCAGTATATACAGGTGGCTGTGACTATTATGTCCATGTTTTCTTACATCCAGAGCTCCTTTTCAGTGTTATGAGGAGCATCAATGTCTCATCTGTGGCCACTGTAGAAGCTGCCATACACATTGGGTGAGTTCTGCACACTTTCTCTCACTTTCCCCACCACTGAGACCCAGTCATAATATTTCCTAGTCATTCTCCACTGTGCTAGGTGTTTCTTCAGTCCATTTCTCATTTTAAATGCTCTTTGATATATATGGCAATTTTCAGGAACTCCATGGCTTTAGTCTGAAAGCGAACTATACTGACCGAGCAATCGCCACTTGTCGGTGAAGTGCCATCTTTAGCGGATAGAGGGTGTCGCGTGATCAGCGCTAGCCCCCATGGCCGTTATTTTCGGTTTTATAGACCGGAGCCTCTACTTTTGCATTCAAGTAGCTCCTCAATTATCCTCCCGAGTGTACCCCATTCCAGACCTACTACTTCTCAGAATATCTGGTAGCGCCGGGAATCGAACCTGGGACCTCTGGACCTGTAGCCAGGAACGCTGACCACTACACAATCCCAATATATAAAGACAGTCACCTGCAAATTGATGAATAGCGTGAATTTAATATAGAAGTCTTCATGACCACACTTAATGTTTTTAACTTGGGGGGGGNGGGGGGGGTCAACCATATCCTTCAATTGCATCCTGGACAGTCTCTTGCAGGGGAAAATTTGTCATCATCCATATGTTGCTTCTGTATGGGATGCAGGTATGGTATATGATTTAGAAGTTAAATTTATTTTCTTTCACTGTATAAATGTCAATACAAACAGGGTTCTATGTTACTCTTACCTTACACATAATAAAGTGCAAGTTACCATCCAAGTATACCTTATTACCTGAGTAGACTGTTTGCTACAGACACCCCAACATGTTTCAGTCTACTCAGGCAAGAAGCAAGATATACTTGGAAGGTATCTTGCATTTGATTTTATATAGGACATGAATCTTATCAGCTTACCTTGTGTATTTACTTACTTGTCTTTGGAAACTGGCAAGGTGAAGAACGTTCTCTCAGGAAATTTTAGTTTGTTGCTAGCACAGCCAGGTACAATGCAGGTCAATGGAGATGCGTTAGCAGTCACATCACTCTTGGTATGTCCAACTCCCAGACTTGGATTCAAACCTAAATCATTTACACAACACACAAATTTTAATGCAAAATATATATGTGAGGTTATGCGAAAAAAAGCACCTGACAAAACAGGGGCTCTAATACACTTCTATACTTCAAAGAGCATATTAAGTAACGCATCTGCTCATCTGAGACAAATGAAAAATAAGTCATTGAGTGAAAAAAAAATGCATATATTCATTAATATTCTCCACAGCCCTATTTTTTTTCCTACTTTCTTTATTTAAAAAAAAAGGCTTATGAAACCTGCTTGCTGTCTGTGTATCCCCCTAACTCCTAAAAGCTATAATTATGGAGCCAGAAGAAATGGCAGTTATAAACTGTATGTGATGTGATATAATGCCTGAAAGACAGAAGAGTGTAGTCAGAGTACTGTGGAAATAGCCATTACTAGGTAGTGGCTCAGGAATTAGGTCTTCCAAACTGTCTGTCTGGTACTGCTGGTCCTCATCAGGCCACGCAGAATCCATTTTTCTGTCTCAGGTCTTGTAATCAGTCTTCCAACCCTTGGGCTGTCCTCTTTATACATGGTGTCCCAGGTGTTTGGTGCCATACTTCAGGAGTGTACTGAGGGTCCCTATAGAACAACTCTGAAATAGGAACCCATGTCCGCAAATGCAAAATAGCAGCACTAGGGCGGCATTTAATATCATTTTGTTCAAACTTGGTGCCTCAATGTCGAAGAGCATGCACATGCATATTACTCCTTCCAAACTCTTAAGACTCACCTGCTAGAGTAGATGTTGAAATTGGCACCCTCCATCTTCAATGCATATGTTACATCAACGAAAGAAACTTAGGCACACCCTTTCAAATATTCCAGGTGTCTCACGGATTACGTCACATGCAGCAAGTATTCTGGCCAACAGCTCGAATTCATTATCCACAGGCGTGTCGTAGATCAGGCTTTTCACATGGCCTCAGATGAAATAGTCCAGAGGTGTCAAGTCTGGGGATCGGGGTGGCCAAGGCACTGGGCCTCCTCTTCTTATCCAACAACCATGAAAAGTAGCATCCAGGTACTCTTGCGATAAAATGCTGAAGTGTGCCAGTGCTCTGTCATGCTGTATCCACATTTGCCTCCGCACATCAGTGGCAAATCTTCTAGCAAAGGTGGAAGGATACGTTCCAGGAACACAATGTAAAAGGGCCCATTGAGTCGTGGTGGTAGGAGGAAAGGCCCAATCAAGTGATCACCAATGATGCCCACCCAGACAGACAGAAAATTGTGCCTGGTGGTAACCAGCTACAGTAATGTTGGGGTTTTTGTCAGCCCAAATGGGGCTGTTTTGACAGCTGAACCAGCCATCCCTTATAAACTGCACTTCATCTGTGAATAACACGTGATTCAGGAAGTTTGGCTGATGTAAACACTGGTTCAGTATCTACTGACAAAATTGAACTTGTGGTACAAAGTCAGCTGGACCTACGTCGTGTACTCGAGTTGGATGATACGGATAAAGGTGTTGGTCGTGTAGGATCCTCCAAACACTTGATTTTGATGTCCCCACAATCTTGGCAATGGCACGAGTGCTGGTGGATGGTTGTTCTTCTATGCAATGCAGTTCGACATTGAGACACCAAGTTTAAACGAAATGATTTTAAATGCTTCCTTAGCGCTGCTATTTTACGTTTGTGGACATGGGTTCCTATTTCAAAGTTATTCTATAGGAACCCTCAGTACGCTCCTGAAATATGACACCAAACTCCTGGGACACCCTGTATAACTTAAGAGGAAACACCACCTCCAATGGTTCCTCTGTTGTTGGCCTGCTTCCTTCTGTGTCTGTATGTTTATTTTCTATCAATGCTAGGCAACAACTTGGTGAACAAGTTCCCATGGCAATGAATACACACGTTCAATGCATCATGTTCTGTGCAGTCCATGTCATATCAAAGGATAGTAGGTGATTAGTTCTTCCTAAAACTTATGTTTCTACAGATTTCAAACAGTACATGATATTTTGCATAAGTAGGCTCATGTGGAGCAATTACAATAGTGTGGGGAGGTGAAGTCTGCCTTGTGGAGGAATATCTGGTCTCTTTCCTTGAGGTTTTCCTATGAAAACTTTGTATACAGTCCCTTTTCTCCCAGGAATGCCCACCAGTCAAAATCCCTTTGATCTGCTCAATCTAAATAACATATCGCAAAGACTAGGTGAATGACTATTAGCTCTCCAAGAAGGACTCTGTTCTGTGGAGGTAATAAATATTTCAAACTAACCACTTGAAATATAATCTACTACTTTTTGATCATCTGTGACTTTTTGTCCATTGTTGTTCATCTGATTGAAATCTAATGGTATTCCAACTT